AGGAAGAGAAGGAGAATAGGACCCCAGTCTCTTTCTCTCTTGTCTTTCAGCAACATATAAAGTGGGGCCCAAACAAAAAGAGGAAGAAAACTGGCAGCCTGAAAGGTAGGTTCTGTTCTTCCTCCCCAGAGGTGACTTGATCTTACCTGATCTTTAGCAACCTAGGAGACCTAGGATGTCAGTTGCAGAGCCCTGAGGAGACATCTGAGAAGGAAATCAGAATCATGATACTTTCCAGGTTCTGTTAGTGGCAAAGTTGTGATGGGCCAGGTTGTGTCCTAGTGGTGGGTGGGATTGGAGGTTGTGGAGCAGTATTGCCTTGATTTTCAGGTGAGATCTCCAGGTCCTCCTGATAACACTGTCTCTTATATCCTTAAGACCCGTTCTTCTTTCAGATGACCCATCTTTTCTTCCTCACAAGGAGCTTATGAAGGTAGAGGTGGAGGTGGGAACACCTTGTAAATGATAAAATGTGGTCAGTTCATGTGCCTCTATAATGTGGTCACTGTCATTACTTGCTAGCACTGTCATTATTCTGTGGTCTTGGGCACTAATGTTTGAGATTCAGAGTCTAGTCTCATGATCTCAAAGGGACATTCCACTCATCCTCCTGGAATATCCTTTTTTTTTTTTTTTTTTTTTGCCATAACCCAATGTCCATTTTCAGTAACTAGAGATGACGTGAAGAATCTAGAGGAGATTAAGAAGTTGATTTCAACTTTGCAAAGGTAAGCAATTTCCCACTTCTTTGTGCCCTAATCCCTACTGGAAACTATAGTGTGAATGCAGGGCCCAGGGCTGACCTTAGGGCAGATTCAACGTTTCAGTGAGATGAGACTTTAGCTCTGCAGTGTTAGAGAGAAGGACCCTCTGGTGTGAATGTGCTGGGCCGTGGAGGGACTTGGGCTGCTGGGGCTCACTCTGCCCAACTGACTATAGCTTGTGCCTCCTGTCCCTTGTAGCACCCTAGGGAAACTCTGTAACAAAGAAGACTTTCGTCATCCATTCCCTGGACATGCCACAACTGAGGTGTTAAAACCAGGGCCTGTTATCATCCACAGGCCACCTAGGCAGAGTGTATCTCCAAACACCTTATCACCATTGTCTTCTCTGGATCCTCTGACTCAGGACCCCGCCTCTGGCCTCACCCCTATCAATAGAAAATCAAGAATACCAGTCTGACTTGAAAAGAATTCCAAAGAGGACTGTCCCCTGGAGGTCCCTTCTAGGTACTTCCTGTCTGACATCTATAGTCAGGACAATCTCAGGCCTTTACTGCTGCAACTATCAAATTTCATTCCTTCCCTGCTGGTGGGCAACTGCCAAAGCCTTATTTTTCCATGGCAGGGCACATGAAAAATCCCACCAAGAATGTCAGTCCCCCCAACCAGCTGAAACCTCCTCCTTGGCAGACACCACACCCTGGCACACAGAAGACTGGGGGCTCTCCTTCTTGAAACCCAATATCCAAAAGGTTTTGGAGACAATGATCACCAAAAGAGTAGAATTAAGATTATGGGAGGAAAAAGGAAAAAAAGGCTCATTTTTTAAATCAATGAGTCCCAACTACTCCTTGGATTCTCTAGGCAAGATACCGAAGTTACTGGTCAACAAGGAAGACACCAGGCCAGACCCTTTCTGGATCACAAAATGGAAACCACAGAAGTTTCCCAGTTATCAGGAGGTCTCTTATACCAAGGACTTGGGGGACCTTGTGCAAGAGAAATGCAGAGAATGTTTCTGGGGTCTGCCCTCTCTGCACAGTGAGTCCCTGGTGGCTACTGCCTGGGTCCACAGGAGGTCTTCTGCCCTTCCTGAAGCTATTTCATTCAACAAAAATTTTAACTGCTTCCCAGTGCTAATTCAGGCTGATAGACCTCCACAGCTTTTCCAGGCTGAGCAACTACCCCAGAAAGTGGTCCAACCCAAACTCTGGACACAAACCATGTCACTAGGAATAGATCAGGTCCATACCCAGGCCACACTCCCATGTTCTTTCCCAAATCAACCACCTTCTACTCTATCCCCGATTAGCTCCTGTCCTGTAATTTGCTCTACATCCCAGCACAAGGCACAGTCATTCATCCCAAATAAACACCAGAATCTGGAATGGCCTGGGCAGAAGAAACTAAAATGGAAAATGGTTTTAGCCTCTAAGCTACAAAAATCTCAGGAACCCATTAGTCAACCCAATCTCAAACTTCCCCACAGAAGTCAGGTCAACCAGATCACTAAGTCACCCTCCATCCTTCCTGGGGATTCTCACAGCCCCAAACTCCAGGACAACAAGGAAGAACAACAGATTCAAGACAGACTCATTAGAAATGAACAGCAACACTGCCCTCCTATTAGATTCCCAGCATCCCAGGAACTGATGCAGCCTAAGGACAAATTCTCAGGGAAATGTCAGTACCAGATAAAAGAAATGTATGGATCTTCCCAGCCCACACACCCATCTGTACTCACTTGTGAAGGGAGCAAGGGTGTACAGAAGGTTACATCCACATGCTCTGGAAGAACCTCTAAGAAAGGTCTAGCAATGATCCAACGAGATGACCCACGAGGATATAAAGAAAGACCTGAGGAGGGACCCAGAAGGTCTATACTTGAGTTCAGAAAGCCCATCACTTGTATGTCTGAAGGAAAATTCAGAAAACTGTTTGGTGAGGTCCAGTAAGTGTTTCTCTGGAACTCATTTATCAACAAACCCAGACAGGGAACATCTGGCAAAAACACTGCAAGTCCACCTGAGCAGAAAGGTGGAGCTAATGAAAGAAGGCACAATCCCTCTGTGTGTGCGTCGATCCTAGCTTGCTGCCACCCATGCCTTTCCCAAGTCCAACATCCAAGCAAAACCCATAAAAAAAGTACCACTTAAGGGTCGTCAATTCAGGGTGAACACCTCCCAGGAGCTTTCCTTTCTTGATCCCAAAAGTCACCTGATGTTAGAAACACATATCGTAAGATACCGGGTGAGGCACAGATGGGATCCACACATGAAGGCCCTTGAACAAATGAATGTGAACTTGAGTGAGGCTCCAGCCTCACCCCTTCCACAGCCTGCCATTTCCTCTTCAGCTGACTATATTACAAAGGTTACCAATTTCCCAGAAGAAGTTCCTCAGATATGTTCAGGAGAAAAGGTGGTAAGAGAAATGTCAGTAGCTACTCTGCAGAGTACTTTTACTGCCCACTCAGCAGCAGATTTGCAGTGGGCACAGAAAGAGACAACATTTAGTGATAGACATGTGCCCACAGAAGCCCATCCTTCTGGGCAGGAGGACAGCATACCCTTTCAGTCTAGCACCTGCAACCTCCTGATCAGAACTCAGAACACTGTTCTGGGGGCTGGGAGAGGCAATCTTGAGCCAAGTCTAAGCCCAGCAGTGTTCAAGCATGAACAACAGGATGAAAATGCAGGTGTGGCCTTAGGAGACCCTAATCTGAGCAAGACATTGCTGGAGATCAATGTAGGGTCCCAACCATCAATGGCCAAAGAGACCAGGGAGACAGTGGAGGAAGGGAAGGAGATATCCCCTGCAGGTGATGTGTCCATGGCAGCCAGCATGCTGGTAAGCTCCCAAATCATCAATGTCAATCTGAACAGTTCAGAGTCTCCAGGAACCAGTAAAGCCCTCCCCTTCTAGAATTTCTATTTCACAGGACTCAGAAGATGCAGGCCTGAAAGCACAAGTATTTAGTGAGGTTGAGTTCATAGTGGGGATTGAGTCAGAGGAGCAGATTCGTGCTCCAACTTCTGGCATCCATCAAGACTGCCACACAAATATGCTCTCTACAACACATAGCCCACCTTCTCAGGCCTCTCTGAACAGCAGCCAGAGCATGGCCAGCAGCCATGTGACTACTTCCCAGGGTCAATGTAATCTCTTCATGGAGGGGGTTACATGAAGGTCCAGCAGGAACCCAGGGTCACCAGAGTTAAGATCTCAGACAGAAATCACACCAAGATGTTTGGTCACCCTGATGAGAGAGATAACTGTGGGAGGCCCAGACAAGGACAACAGGAAGAAAGGCTTGCAGGGATGAGGCTGACTCAAGCCTGCAGGGTGAGCCCATCTGCTAAGATCAGGAAAATAGGAACAACTGAAAGCAAGACTTCCTCCTGCCCACCAGTGAAGAGACAGGTTTCTCCAGAAAGCCCTTCAGGAAAAGAATGCAGAACTTTCTGCAGTATCTTAATCCCATGCAAAAAGCAAAGGGCAGGAAGACTCCCTCCCAAAAGTTGAGATCCATCAGCCACTACCCAGAGTCAAGGGTCAGTCACAAGCAGACACATGAAGGTCACCGAAGCAGCTAAAGCCCATGGGCTCATGAAGTTGTTGCACAGATCGTAGAAGACAAGCTGGGCTGCAGCATAGAAGTGTCCATCAGAGATGTGCTGGCATAAAGAGGAAGCCCAAGCCCTGCTGGGCAGACATTACTGCCCCAGGGGATCCTCCGACCAAAAGCCAAATCGAGTGATGAGAAATACTTGTGGTTGTCAACAGGACAGTCACAAAGGCCACAGTCACCCAACCAAGAACAGGTGGACCAGAGATGGATGCAAATCAGGCCATGCCGCCCAGGGATCCTGTGTCCCCAGCCAGTCCAGGCCAACATAGGCCAGGTTGAGCAGGTGCCTCAGGCCATCTTCACCATTATCTAACACAGTGTCTTCAAAACGGTGTTCTGCCTGGTGAACAGATCATGTATCTCACAACTTTCCTGATGAGTAAAGTTTTTCCTCTTGTTTCATATGAATAGGTCTTCCATGTGCTCATGGCATCTTATCAAGAAATGTATTGCTTCACAATAAATTATGATTAATCACAACAGAGGGATGAGCTTCTGTCTGTGCCGTGCTGGGTGTAGGGAAATGTCAGCATCTGGTCCCCCTCAGAGCAGCTTCTAGGAGGAATCAGGTACACAGGGAGAGGACAGTGGCATTGAGGACTCACCCTCACCCCAAATTTCCTCAATGTATCTTAAGTGTGCTTCATCCAGGCACTATGGAAACACTGTAGGCACTATAGAAAGTCTTCAGGATACTTCAGGATGAGCCAACTTAGGGAAACTCCACTCCAGAATCTGGCTCAATCTATTTGTCCCAACAGTTTAGCTTACCTCTGCCTTGAAATTGTGCATCCGTAGACCACATATCTTCACATGTCACAAAGAGGCTGCAGAAATATTGAGGGTATAGTGTGGTGGCCCTGAGTTCAGAGGTGGAGGAATCTTGCCCCTGGGTTTCCTGGTGAAGAACAGAGAAAGCCTGTACCAGGAGCCTCTGCTGTCCCTGTTGGAAGCTGGGTTGGGAATGGACCCTGACTGCTTCATGTAGCTCAGCCTGGGTGTCATGGTAGTGACACTGACACCAATTCTGTCTTCCTCTCTCTGTAGAGCAGTGGCAAGATGGAACATGCACACTGCATTGGAGTGGAAGCCATGGACAGCATGCAGAGGGGAATATTACCCTTGTACCACTGTCACCAGCCTTCCCCTCTGAGCAGACCTGTGTGTAATAGTACCCATCACATAGTGGGGACAAGATAGGTCTAGAGAGAAATGTAGGAGAAGAATTATAAAGGTTTTAGTCAATGGAGGGAGAGTGGCATGGAGGTTCCATAAGGGTTGCCATGGAGAAAGCCACTGTCCTCCAGGCCTAGAGTGATGAGACTACAGGACTGAGCCACTCACTCTGGCCATTCCCTGGGCCCCCTGCTCTGACTTTCAGGCCACAGGCCTCAAGAATCCCCCTTAGCTCCAACACAGACTAGAGAGAAAGATGAGCCTTGAAGAAGGGAAGATCAATTTCTTCACAGTATATTTAATAAACCTTCACATCACAGCCTCTTGAATTCCAGAAAGGAGGAATTGAGAACTGGTGGAAAAAAGGTCCAGTGAACTCTGGCTGTGACTTGCAGCCTGGTGACCTTTACACTTACACATGGTCCCACACTATTCCAAAGGGAGATGTGAGCACCAAAGAGGACTAATGGGCTGGCCTGGTCCTTGCAATAAGTCTGTCCTGGCACCTAGTCTTGTTTATCCCAGAGATGAGCAGGGGAAGATTCATCAGATTGGTCTACACAGGGAAGTGACTTGTCCAAAAAGCCTAAGCTTCCAGCATTGGAGGCAAGGCAGGAGTGGCCCTGCTGGGCCTGACTCCACTTCTATTTCCAGTATGCTCATCACAAGACATGGGAACCAGAAGGGACCAGGCAGGGAGAGGAGTAGCCAATCCTCCAGACCTCCTGTGCTGTGTCCTATATGGGGTACCATTCCAAAGAACCTCCTTCATTCCTTTGTAGATATGTCTGTGGCAGCAGGGGCCACTGATGCAGATGACATAGGCATTCCTCTTGCACGCATGCCTGTCAGGAGTCTGCGTGTGGGGCTGGACAGGTGCTCAGTGTGTGGATATGGGCCCTGCAGGGTCTCCTGGCAGAGGACCTGTCTTTGCCTAAAAATGACAGTGACCTAAAGAGTATGCCTAGCAGCAAAAGCAGAACCAGAGCCCTGAGGCTGTCACTGCTGGGAGGGGGGGGGGGGGGAGGGGGGGGGGGGGGGGGGAGGGGGGACGGGGGGGGGGGGGGGAGGGGGGGGTGGGGGGAGGGGAGGGGGGGGGGGGGGGGGGGATAGGGGAGGAGGGGGGGGGGGGGGGGGGAGGGGGCGGGGGGGGGGGGGGGGGGGGAGGGGGGGGGGGGGGGGGGGGGGGGGGGGGGGATGGGGGAGGGGAGTGGGTTCTGAGAAGCAGGATCTTTGTGGTAGGAGCTGGATGTGGGACCCCAGAGATCCTGAGGGTACAGGTTCCACAGATAGCAAAAACTGGTGACTAGCCAGAAGCAGGAGGAGAAAACTTTCTATGCTTTCTGCTGCCATCCCTGACCTCTATGAGAGTAAGGCTATAGACCAGAAGAGACCACCAAAGACCTCCAGTGAGACCCTTCACACCAAGACCATCCATGGGAATCTTTAGAGTCTTGTGTAACCTCTCTACTTTGAGACCCCCAAGTTCCTCCCAGATATCAACCAGACAGCTTCCAAAGACTCCAGTAGAGAGACACCCACACAGACTTCCATAGAGATGCAACAGAAAGACCTGTACAGAGAACCACTCTGAGCTGCCCCTCCACAGGGACCCACACAAAGAACCAGACTTAGGCTCCCCCAGAGAGGCCCACTGAGACCTCCACAAACACCTTCACAGGTACCCACAGAGATTATCCTACACCCATACAGACCACACTGAGGTATCTTCAAAAACACACATGCAGAAATACCCCATAGAAACACACACACAGACATCTTCAGAGACTCCCACTGAAAACCACCCTCACTGGGCCCAACAGACCACCACCACAGAGATTTCTGACAGAAAACACAAAACCTCTTTCAAGGATCTCCAAAGAACATGACACAGGACTTCAGAAGGACCTCCACACACATCTCAGAGACCCACCCACAATCTCCCACAGAGACTCTGAGGGAGACTTGCCTAAATGACACCTTCAAGACCTGTTCCACCTTAGTGCAGAAATGTCCCTCATGACCTCTCACTACCACAGGCAGAGCCCACGGCCCTCACACAAGCGCCCTTACAGAGACATCACTCAGTCTCCCAGACCTTACAAAATCTCAGATCCCTAGAGACCTCCACAACAACTCCACAGAAAAAACTTCCTATTGAGACAGTGAAGACTGTCTCACTGTATACACAACTTGAATGGATTTCCCAGATACTTCACACGTGTCATCCCACTGAAACTTTCCACGTGAGGACCTCCACACAGAACATGAACAGACTTCACAAAAAAGATTTTCACAGAGCCAGCATGGACTGGACCTCCCACAGAAAACCAAAACACACCATTCATTAGGGGTGGCACAGTGACTGACCTTACTGGGAACCTTACACAGAAAACTCCTACAGGACCTCACGTGGCCCTACAGAAACCTTCCACAATGATTATATAGACTTCCACCAGAGTTCACACACAACCTACTCAAGACAACAGAACTGTCCTGTCCCATAGAGTTCTGACAGGAGATCTGACCCAGAGACATCCCACGGCACCTCTCAGACTTAGATAACCTCATAATCTCCACAGAGACTATAGAGACAGTTCACAAGAGACATCTCCACTACATCAGAGACCTCACCTTCTTTCAGAGATCTCACACACAGAAGTTGCACAGACTCGTCACAGACTTCCCACAGGACCCCCACACACATCGTGCCTTGTACCACCAGCGGCCCTGTTGCCAGAACCCTGAGACCCTCAGAAATTGCCAACATGGCCCCCAAATGAGGTCCTCTGCGGTGGGCAAAAGCCAGCAATTTTTGTTTCTTTGCCTCTGAACAGAAGCATTCAAAGTACAGACCTCCAAAATTCTTATTCCACAGCTTTCTGGCATCTTCATCTCTGATTCACAGTAGAGAATCACAAGTTTACACATGAACAAAATGAACCAACCTCTTTGTTCAAGATTAGTTATCTAGGAATGGTATCAATGTCACATTTTTTTTCTTTTGTTACTGGGGACAAGATCTGAGCTCAAGATAGCTACTTTGAAAACACAAAATAAAGACCTGCAGCAAGTGAGAGCAGTTCACACCACTTGACCTATTATAAAGATACTCGTATTTCCACATGTATGCTGCCTGTATTTTAATAACATGCGCCTACAGTAAGTCTCCTAAACATTTTAACATTTTATACATTGTAAGAAGCAATGGGAATCAAAAATTAGATAATGGAGAAGTTTACAGGGGATGAAATAAATCAAGAAAGAAGCACCTCCCAAGGAGCAATGCCAAGAAACAGTACACTGCTCTGCACACAGCAGCTACTTCAGGGTTATGGTTTGGCTTTATTTTCAAATGAAACAAGCTGGCAACCACCAAGATATTATTTTATAAAAGAGTCACATTCCTTATACCAGGGGTTGTGGCTCAAGTAGTAGAGCACTTGCCTAGCAAGGAGAGATGAGTTCAAACTGTATCTGTCAGGCGCTTCTGGCTCATGCCTATAATATTAGCTACTTGGGAGGCTGAGATTGGGAGAATCATGGTTTGAGGCCACCTGGACAAATAGTTCATAAGACCCCATCTCCAAAATAACCAGACTAAAATGAATTGGAGGTATGGCTCAAGCAGTAGAGAGCCTGCTTTGCAAGAACAAACCCTTTGTTCAAACCACAGTCCCACGAAGGAAAAAAAAAAAAACCCTCAGTACTGCCCCAAGAAACAAAGAACAAAAAAACCACATCAGATTACTGGCATTATTTCTATTTTTTCTATCACACTCATACCCAGAGGAGTATTAATAATTCATTCCTCAAAATGTGATAATATCCTCAAATAATATATTACACATATATTTAAATTTAAATATTAAATTATTTTAAATATTTTAAATTTATCAGATATATGTCATGTAAATGAATGCTTGATATTCAGTGAAAAACTGATAGAGTAATTGGAAGATTTTATTTTTTAAAAGGATAGTAGGAAATGCATATTTTCTATGACTCACGCATGCAGATTTATAAAAGGTCTTAAAAAGGGCACATTCCACATTTGGAATTTTTTGAAATAGATCACTTAGTCCATGTTTGAGATACATGAAACTACAGAGATGGATCATTAAAATATGCTAATTGAAAAAAGAGTACATTTAATCCAAATTTATACTAATGAGTAATGAAAAACCTCACTAATGACATGCCCAGCACTTTCCAAAGGGGAAAACAGTCTTTAGAGAGACTACTGATTACCTCTCACTCAAGAGCAAATCCACTCCTTGCCTTCATAAAATCTATTGTGATGACATTTGTCAACCATGTGTCAATGCTTCAAGCTCAGATGATTCATCAAGATGAGAGGGTCAGTCCATTCACTAAAAGGAGACAAAAAAAAAAAAAAAAAAAAGCTGACACCAGCACTCTTTTGACCTATTTGGTTCAACATGCTCCATTCTACTCTCCATAAACACAAATTTAAATTTGTGATTTTTCTCCTTCACTCCCTGATATTGCCACTGAATCAAAAAATGCTGGCAGGTGGGCATGGATGTCCTCTGGTACTCTATTAACCTATATTTTTTGGTAGTGGAACTTTTGGAAATAAATTTAAGAGACAAGAGCACAGGGAAAGTAATTAGGGGAGATTCCATATAGAAAATGCATTTCAAATTGGTATTTTGGAGACAGGTTTTCCCTATGCAGCCAAGGCTGGTATCAAACCCATGCTTTCTGCTTAAGCCTCCCTAGTGCTTGGAAGATGGCATGCACAAGCTCGCCCTGATTCAATCTCATTTTTTATCATGATGAAATTGAGTCATTACTTTCAACATTTTGAATTAAAATTGTTGGGGTGGTTATAAAGTCTGAAACTGACAAACATCCACATTAAAAATTTTATCAAAATGATTTGCTGGATGAGTTTTACCTGAGTGGTAATTCATTGCTCAATAAGCTGTGCAAACCTACAATGGACAAAGTGCATTGAAACCACATTCCCATCAGTCACTGCACACACATCTCTCATATGCTGCCTCATGATCTGTGTCCAATTTTTACGGAAAACACTGTGACCTCACTCCAGAAGAAACAGTCAAGATTTGATCTGTTACAAACATATCAGTAATAGTTCCAGACTTTCTGGCCACCTTTATTTCATTTTAATGAGTTTGACCTAACGTAAAACTTATGGACATTTTGGCATTTCATACATAACAAGAAATGAGTATCAAAAATTAGATTATGAAGAAACATAAAATACATGTATTTTGTTTTCAATATGTTTTACATTTTGCTGCAAATGACGTTTTATGTTTTGTCTTTGTTTTGTTTCTTGCAGTAGTGGTGATCGCACACAGGGTTCTGCAAATGCTAGACAACTGCTCTACTTATGAGCTATACCCCTGGCCTCTGAAGTGACTTTTAAATCTCCAGATAAAAGTCTTTCTAAATGACACTCACAATCTATTACAAATTTGGTTTTGATATAGTTTTTGTTTAACATAGGTCTCAGGTCTCACACTGACTTCAATAGATCAGATGCTGCAGAACACAGAACAAGGGGTGGAATCTTGCCACATGGATGACTTATTAGTACACCAGTGGATAAAGCTATTTCTGAAGAGTAACTTGAGTCATTTCACATGTTATCTTTATCTTTAAGCGCCATCCCCCTTTAAAAATTGCCGTAGTATTGACAGTTTCACCTTTTCTTTTATTGAAGAGGAACTCTCACAAGAAGAAATTTCATCAGGCTTTCCCAGACATCCACAGCTACACTTTCTGTCCTGCTCACAGCATTAGCTAAGTATGATGCATTCAGATCTAGACAGTCAAGGGCTCCCTAATGGCCTCCCCAATACTTTCTGTAATGTTGGTCAGACTCATGATCACTCCTGGAGCACAATCCTTTGCTGTACTTGTGCCCGTGGCCAATGTAGATTGCTGCATATTTCAAAAAGGTTGTATCCATGGTTACTCAGAGGTTTGCAGAGGAATCACAGCTCTGTGGGCCATGCTGCAGTATGGAGAACAGGCTTCTCCCCCACACAGACACATGCTCCATGCTCCTCATACCCACACCACCACAGTTTCACAAATGACCAAGGCAAAACTAACTTCTAGAGGCTATAAAATAGTGACAGCCACACTAGATGAGGAATGGAAAAAGCTAACAGCCCCTCTAGGAAAGGAGGCTGGCACAACTCTTTGTTTCTGAGAATGCCATGTGCTGTCACCAGGCCCACCCTCAGTCATTGTGACAATGCCTGCCACCCTGGCTTCACCTTTGTTCAAGACCTGAAATCATGAACACCTGATTCTTGATGTTTTCATGCTCTCTACCATTCCTAAACCATGACTGCTGAACCCAGGAATACCTCTCAGTTCAGGAGTAATCCTGAAACCTCAGAAGGCCACCCTTTTTCATATTCCTGTCATAATTTCATGATAGGAATATTCACATACTTATTTTCAATGCCCATTAAAAAATCATGTGCTGTCTTTGTATTCAGTATTTACAGTGCTCTAAGAGAAAATACACAGAATTCCTTCAAAGTAATTTTGAAATTGCTTTTGGGTACACAGTATTTAGCTGGTTTCTACTAATTTACAGTGATGTTATAGGACTCTTCTGCAATCCCAGCACTGACTTTGAACAAGTTGGACTAGTGAAGTTTCTCAAACCAACTCTGTTCACACTTGTACCTGCTGTTGGCTGCTGGAGTCCTTGGGTGAAACCTGGGGTCCCCATGGCTCAGCTGCTTATGTTCAGATAAGGAAAAATCACCTGGTTATGTCCAGATACAAGAAGAGATGGTTACAGGCATTACACTGTGTCCTCTCCAGTCACCTTGTACTGAAAGGAAAGCATCTCACCTGGGAACAGCTGATCTTCAAGAGAAGCCTGCAGGGCTAAGGCTGGCAAGCAGCACTGCCTTCTTCATCTGCTGTGTCTTGGTGCTTCTATTTTGTCGAACTGACAGGCCCAATAACCTTGGCCTTTGAGCCCTCCAGTTCCAGCAGAGGAAGGTGAGAGTAAAAGAGCAAGAACAGGTCACTTGATGGGTACTGCACTTTCCTGAGTCCATAGGGTGCTCTGTTCACTTGGCTGAGGTTCAGTGAGGGCTCCTTCAGGGAAGCCATGGCCAGGGCTTTGCTCTTATACTTCCTAGCCAAAGAAAAGGAAGTTCCTTTTTTCTTTCTTTTTTTTTTTTTTTTTTTTTTGGGGGGGGGAAGCAACATTTCTTTTTCCCTTTATTATTGTAATGAGTGGAGGTACATTGTGGCATTTACACAGGTTCTCACAATGTATCAATTACGTCATACATGAATTCACCTCCTCAAAACATTCTCCTTCATTCCTCTTTCCCTTGACTCCTGGAGAAGTTTCAACAGATACCATTTTTGCATTTACTTACATATGTACACATTTTGTTGCATCGTATTCATCTTCTCACCTCCTTTCCCTAACACCTCCCTCCTCTTACTAGGCCAGATCTCCCCTCTTGGTAGGACTTGTTCTGCCCTCCTGTTCTCCAGTTTTGTAGGAGAAAAGATTTAAAAAAAAAACATGACATTTTAGCTTGAGATAAATGTAGCTAAACATGGAGTTTCCTTGTGATAATTCCATGTATGCATTATAACCTCAATTGGTTTATCTTTTCTAATTTTCTTCCTTCTACCTTAATCCCTTTCTTATGGTAGTTTCAGTCTAAGATTTCTATACTCATGCTTCTATATCAACCTTTTCAAATTCTTAGTTTCCCTACCCCTCTTGTGTGTGACCTTCCCCTAGTGCAACCACTCAGCTGAAGGTCTTAAGAGAAAAAGGACAGTTTCTCCCAGGAAGAAGGAATTCTCCCTACCAAATATCTTCAGATTTAAGCTGTAATATCAAATATCAGTTCAAATGTTGGTGAAGATGTGGGGAAAAAGGAACCCTCATACACTACTGGTGGGAATGTAAGCTACTACAACCACTATGGAAAACAATATGGAGGCTCCTTAAAAAACTAAACATAGATCTGCCGTATGATCCAGCAATACCACTTCTAGGGATATACCCGAAGGAATGTGACTCAACTTATTACAAAAGCACCTGCATACCCATGTTTACTGCAGCACTATTTACAATAGCCAAGCTATAGAAACAACTAAGATGCCCCACAACTGACGAATGGATCAAGAAAATGTGGTATTTATACACAATGGAATTTTACTCAGCCACAAAGAAGAAAAGGAAGTTTCATTTGTAAAGAACCTGATGGCTTCAGTCAGCATTTCCCTTTATGGGAAAGGTCTGATCAGCTGTGATTGGCTAAAGCTCCACTGCTATGATTGGCTGAAACTCAGTTGCTCAGGATATACTATATTGATTAGTTAGGTTACAATTTGTTTACACAGCAGGCTAGCTTACATGTTGCTAAGTATGATGGGTGCTTTTGTACACAGGATATCAGCAAGGTATCCAGACAGGTTTAGGCCAAACTATTGGTGTTTACAGCCCAATTTTCTTATCATTGCAACTTTTGAGACATGAACAAAATGTTTGTGATGGGACACCATCTTCTGCAACCATCTCAATGAACCTGCTTGTTTCTAATAGAGACTTTCACAACTTCACAATGTCAAATTTCTAGATAGTGCTTATATTTCATGCTGTTCTTATTCCTACCATAATGAGACTACTTAAAGGGCAAAGAGAGAGAAGTATGGCTACTTAAAAATTTAAGTGAGTACCAAATAACATAGAAAAGATAAAGAATAATTCATGCACTTGTAAGTGTAAAGTGAGAAAGTAGGAAAGAACACAGAGTTTCCACTAACAGAAAAAGTGTCTTTCATATTCTCTGTGTGCCTGGTGCTATCTATCTATCTATCTACTTATCTATCATCTATCTACCTATCTGTGTATCTCTATCTCTATGTCTCTTTATCTCTCTCATACACACATACCAGGATAGCAATGACTTAAAAGAACTAATTCTCTACTTACAAGAAGTACCTAGTCCAGGAAAAAACACAGAACTACAAAGAGCCTCGCAGCTGTGTAACTGCAACTGCACCTGAGGCCCATAACCATTGGCTTCAGTAAAGCTATTGTTAGACACACTGTGTCCTGAGACTTTACCCTGTGCCACCTCATCCCTCAGAACAGTGAGTCACAGGTAAAGGCTGGTGCACATGGAGTTGGCTGGGAAGAGTAATCTACATGTTTAATGCAATTCCCATCAAAATCCCAATGACATTCATTAAAGAGACTGAAAAATCTACTGTTAAATTTATATGGAAACACAAGAGGCCACGAATAGCCAAGGCAATACTCAATCAAAAGAACAATGCAGGAGGTATCACGATACCTGACTTCAAACTATATTACAAAGCAGTAACGATAAAAACAGCATGGTACTGGCACAAAAACAGACATGAAGACCAGTGGAACAGAATAGAGGACCCAGATATGAAGCCACACAACTATAACCAACTTGTCTTTGACAAAGGAGCTAAAAATATATGATGGAGAAATAGCAGCCTCTTCAACAAAAACTGCTGGGAAAACTGGTTAGCAGTCTGCAAAAAACTGAAACTAGATCCATGTATATCACCCTATACCAAGATTAACTCAAAATGGATCAAGGATCTTAATATCAGACCCAAACTCTAAAGTTGATACAGGAAAGAGTAGGAAATACTCTGGAGTTAGTAGGTATAGGTAAGAACTTTCTCAACGAAACCCCAGCAGCACAGCAACTAAGAGATAGCATAGATAAATGGGACCTCACAAAAATAAAAGCTTCTGTTCATCAAAAGAAATGGTCTCTAAACTGAAGAGAACACCACAGAGTGGGAGAAAATATTTGCCAGCTACACATCAGACAAAGGACTGATAACCAGAATATATAGGGAACTTAAAAAACTAAATTCTCCCAAAACTAATGAACCAATAAAGAAATGGGCAAGTGAACTAAACAGAACTTTCTCAAAAGAAGAAATTCAAATGGCCAAAAAACACATGAAAAAATGCTCACCATCTCTAGCAATCAAGGAAATGCAAATTAAAACCACACTAAGATCCCTCCTCACTCCTGTTAGAATAGCCATCATTAGCAACACCACCAACAACAGGTGTTGGCAAGGATGCGGGGAAAAAGGAACCCTCTTACACTGTTGGTGGGAATGTAGACTAGTACAACCACTCTGGAAAAAAATTTGGAGGCTACTTAAAAAGCTAAACATTGATCTACCATTTGATCCAGCAATACCATTCTTGGGGATATACCCAAAAGACTGTGAAACAGGTTATTCCAGAGGCACCTGCACATCCATGTCCATTGAGGCACTATTCACAATAACCAAGTTATAGAAACAGCCAAGATGCCCCACCACTGACGAATGGGTTAAGAAAATGTGGTGCCTATACACAATGGAATTCTATGCAGCCATGAAGAAGAACGAAATGTTATCATTCGCTGGTAAATGGATGGAATTGGAGAACATCATTCTGAGTGAGGTTAGCCTGGCCCAAAAGACCAAAAATTGTATGTTCTCCCTCAAATGTGAACATTAGATCAAGGGCAAACACAGCAAGGGGATTGGACTTTGAGCACGTGATAAAAGCGAGAGCACACAATGGAGGGGTGAGGATAGGTAAGACATCTAAAAAATTAGCTAGCATTTGTTGCCCTTCATGCAGAGAAACTAAAGCAGATACCTTAAAAGCAACTGAGGCCAATAGGAAAAGGGGACCAGGAACTAGAGAAAAGGTTAGATCAAAAAGAATTAACCTAGAAGGTAACACACACACACAGGAAATTAATGTGAGTCAACTCCCTGTATAGCTATCCTTATCTCAACCAGCAAAAACACTTGTTCCTTCCTATTACTGCTTATACTCTCTCTTCAACAAAATTAGAGATAAGAGCAAAGTAGTTTCTGTTGGGTATTGAGGGAGTGAGGGGTAGAGGGAGGGGGCGGAATGGGTGGTAAGGAAGGGGGTGGGGGCAGGGGGGAGAAATGACCCAAGCCTTGTATGCACATATTAATAATAAAACAATAAAAGAAAGGCCCCATGCAGAGATAACCACCCATTCCTGCCTTTCTTTGTCTCCTTCTGTAAACAGACTTTCTGAAACAGGCTCCCCTGCTGCTCCTACCTAAACAATACCAGGTCCCTAACCCCAGTGTAAGCCCATCTATTAGCAACCAGCACGTTCCCTGTAATCCAATCCCCTGCACGGCACTTTAAGACTCTTGTGATTTCACTGCTGGGAACCCAGAATTTTGAGTATGAGCTGGGACACTGACATAAAATAATAAAAATCCGAGTTCTCCTACTTCTCTGAGTGTTTCTTGGTTTCTCATCTGGCAATATTTCCACAACATTTCTGGAGGCCCCAGTGAGATACCAACTGTTCTGTCCCCTTGAACCACTGGCTGGCAGCTGGACTGCACTGGAGTAGGGAGGGACTTGGGACCGAATGAGGCAGGGTGCCACCCAACAGTATTCTGGGTCCTCCTTTGCCCTAGAGCTCCAAACCTCTGAAAAGTCTTGTCCTGAATGGACTCCAAGAAGTGGACCAACTTGCCTGGCAATGTCACCGACTCGGTAAGCCCCCAGGAAGTCAGCCCTCAGTAAGGTCCCATCCCACTGGGAGGAAAGGGAGCCTGATCAACTCCTGGGAATCTCTGAGAGGAATTCCTTCTTCCCAAAAGGGGAGAAGGAAAACTATAATAACTTGTGGTGTGAATGAGAGGGGCATGATTCATCCACTCTTCAGGCTCAAGCTTCACAGCTGAAAGGCTGCAGAGTCCAAGTTGGTCTGTTCTGCAGTTCCATGGTGATCCTCATATGGTTTGGGCTGTGTTGGGGAAACCCAACCTACAGTCACAAGGCTGACCCTACCACTGATGCTAAGAGGAACCTAAGTTCCTTTGGGACATGGCCAGGCAGACATCTGACTGGTCTCTTCCCTTAAAGGGGCACACACCCTTTGTCTCTGCACTACCGACACAGGGGAGAAATATATAGGGTGGATATAGAGGACACCTCTAACTGCCATGGGCAGAAGTTCCTTAAAACCCACAGTCCTAGAGTGTATGCTTAAACATTTTAAGAAGGGATTCTTGGGAGATTATGGGATCAAAATGTCTCCTGGAACACTGTGCACA